GTACCTCCTGTGGCTGTTCCTTGAGGATCAAATAAGTCTCCACCTAAGGTCACTGACCTTGCTTGCACTTTGGGATCATAGGTGACCTGCAGTAAGCATGGTGACACATTACACCATTAATTTTAATATTTTCTTTTTAAGTCCTTAGTTTAAGCCACTCATGTTGTTCTCCTGAGCAAGACACTTTACTCTCACAGTGCCTGTCTTAACCCTTTCACTACCAAGATCTAATCAATAATTCTCCTTACTATCTGCTATACAATTCTTATGATGTTAGTTCAGAGAATTTGGTATTGAATCAACTAATAATCCGATAATTGATATTCTTCTCTATTCTCATCACCTACCTGTTTGATATTGTATTGATATTGTAAGGAGAAATTCTGTCTTGGTCACTTGTGGGAGTGAAAGGGTTAAACCGTTAAAACCTAACATCAGTATACTTATTCGCAATACTCTTCTCCATTGCCATCCAATAGTGCTTTACAATGACTGAAGTAAACATAGAGTGCTTGGAAATCCCAACTGGCAGGAGGTGGACCAGTTGGCTATTTACACAGCCCTGCTGAGGAGTTGAACTTGGGGCGACCAAGAACAAACCAGCAAATGGCAGGGTGGAGGACTTGAACTCAGGACCACCAGATTATAAGTCCAGCACCCTAACCACTCAGCCATGTTGCCTCATCATGAGAAAAGAGAGGCTCCTGCAGTTATGCAGTCAGTCTCATTAAAGGACTTCACCTTACCTATCAGGAATTGTTAGAAGCACTCAAGCACAACATTTTCTTAAAAACAATCTCAAAATTAGCGATGACAACTTCAGTAAACAACAACCAGTGCTCTAACGCAGCCCAGTTGGAGCTTTTTCAAATGTAATTCTCAAAATATCAAGTAACTAACATCTTCAAAATACCTTTTTAGCATTATCCATGTCATTGCATACAAAAGTAGTCCCAAACACATAAGCCATAGCTGCTTTGACCTCTTCATCATAACCAACAAGGGACAAAGCAAGGTTGACATTGTCCTTACCAACCTAACAGTGTCCAGAAATAAAACAATGATGATTTAATTAATAGCAATTAAAGCATTTTCTTACAGTAGAAAAAGAATCTGTCAATACAATCAATGTGTAATTTAATGTACTGACATGATTATGAAGACGTGTTACAAAGACAAAATCAATACTCTTCTCAGGTTTAAGAACAAAAATGCTTCAAATCAAATTACATGTAGTTCATAATTATTCTCAAAAGGTTAGTTTCACTTTTCTTGTTTCCAACATATTTTAATTGGCCTAAACAAAATTTCAAAGCTTTTCTAACACAAAAATGAAATTAGAGAACTACACTATACATGAAACTTCAGATCACCCATACTCTCCATTAAAACACCAAATAAGTTTGTTTGTGGTGAACAAATTGAGCTAAATAAAAGGAGTGATGGCAATAGATGACTGATTATGGAAGAGAAACAGTCTAATTTTTAATCTACACTCTACACTCACCAAGCTTTCTGCTCTTTTCACAACATCATTTGAAAGAGTTCTGGAAGCAATTTTATTCAGTGGAATAAATGTGTAGCGGCGCTTGAGTTTGCCGTTGCTTATTAACTTTTTACCAGTCACTTCATTGTCTATCACAACATTATAGAGCTAAAAGATGAAAAAACATTATGCTCATGTGGAAAAAAAATATATTTACACTGTATGTATGCACATGTATACATGAGTCAAATTACAGTATCATTTGATACACACCTGGGCCCAACTGTTCAAAGGGAGGATAATGCTATCAAATGAATTGCGCTATCCAGCGGATAGAAATTTATCCAGTGGCTAATGGTGTCCACCCTCTGAACAAGTGGAGCCTGTATTTTGACTTACTGAGTATACAAACAAAGTAGACTAGAGAAAACGTTGTTATTTAACACAGTAGAATGATACTCTTTTCACCTAGTATGTGTACATGTATCAACAATATATTTTTTTAAAAATTTCTTTTTAAGAATACACCAGATTTGACATAGATACTGAGGCATCTTTCATCAAATTTCCAACAATGACAGGAAATTTAGCATTCCTTTTCTGTGATACTTCACTGACATTCTCAAAACTGAATCATTTCTGTCCAGTTACAGGTTCAGGTTAAATAATGTTTTCAACTAGGTTATATTGCTTATACAGTGTTCTCCCTTATTTTAAGCATAACAGGTAAAATAAATTTTCAAACCGGTAAAGCAATCCCTTTACGTGTTGAATTTTCAAGAATTCCAAGCAATATTAAACGGTAATAAGAGGTACTATAGGCAGTAAATGTTACTAGTTACTGCCTGAAAAGGAGAACACTGTTAAAGGTAATTTTTCAAAACAAACCTTACCTTTCCTCCGGCAGTCACCTCCAGACCTGTAGCAGATGAGACATCTTTTACTTGAATCAGTTGTGCCACTAGACCTTTCACCTATCAAAAGAAAATGTTCAACATCATCACATTGCTGCTTTTAACAAATTCATACTCATAAAATGCATCAAGATCTCAAATGTGTTGTGAAGATAAAAAAAGTTGATATCCGAGATATTTGTGGAGAAACCTGATACATCAGCATCATCCTCAGATTTTGTAGCCCAGAATGATTTGCCCTTCAGTACAACATAAAAGTTCTTATCCCAAAGTTCCCACCACTTTTAGAATCTCTGTAAGTATACCTTGGATCATCCTCTTTTGCAATAACAAACCCAGCCACCAAACTGTTGCAAAAGACTGGCCTCTCCTTAGCCTTTCCTTTTTCAAAATTCAAATCAATTATATCCTCTTCATACTTAAGTTCACAAGTGACTACACTTTTGTTTTAAATCCCATTACACACCATCACACCCAACAATTGATAAATTTTCCTGATTGGAATACCTGTTTTTCACCTCACCTTCTTGCGATCAAATCCTGTTTCTGGATCTCTGTAATCAAACTGAAGTTTTGGAAATCTGAAACAAGTAGTAGTACATGTAAACTAAATGTTTATGAAACATTTTTTCAAATTGAAATCATTGAAAGAAATCTCAATGCATAACACAAAGGTTCCACTCAATATTTTGTCAAAATCAAGTGGATAGCATTAACATTTTTGTAGAAACATTTGGGACATACTTTGCCTCCAGAGTTTCCACTTTGGTCCTTAGTGCAGAATCCTCAGCCTCCAGCTCACGTCTGAAAAAGGAATTTACAAAGTGAAAGAGGAACAGGATTGGAAGCTAATTTCAGTGCATCTAAGTACAAAATAATATACCTTTTGGCAATAAGTTTTTCCTCTTTTCCCTCTTCATACTTCAATTTCTTCATTTCATCCTAAACAAAAACAATTCAGCAACCTTATAAAAATATGGAAAAAATCATTACAAATTAACAGCAATTAGCCTAGACCTGCAAATTTGGGTGATCAGGTAAGACAAGGGAATGAAAATTTGCCTGATTCTCACAAACCATTAAAAGTTAGAGAATAACAAACCTCAAGTTTGGATTTACTCTTTTCAATTGCATCATAAACATCCTTGTCCTTCTTATAGCTCTTCTCTGTGTTCTTCAGCTCAGATTGTTTCTTCTTCAACTCTGTCTGAGCATGTTTGAGTCTGAAACAAAAATGTTAAGTACCAGGTTTTGAGCTACTGATAAAAGTCAATTGTATGTATTTAGTAAAATATACGTGAATCTGTTTACAACTTCCTAATTTTCTTATTCTTATTTCTCTTCTTTTTTAATCCTTTATCATCTATGTGTGACTAGCTTCCTATTTTTCCTTACAGAATAACAGCTGAATAAAATACCCTAACCCTAACCATAAACTTATTTTTTATGGGGTCTGTAACCTTTTTACAAGCTATCCTTTCACTCTTGTTTTACTTTTAATTGTACAGTACACATCTGCTGAGCCATAAATTGTAATATATGATTACTAGAGAAAATACATTGCAAGCAGCTGATGTAAAGGCATCAGGAAAACTATTTCCTAAGGTTACTTGCCTCATCTGGCCTTGCTTGGATTCAGTTTCAGCAGAGCTTATTTCACTCTTAAAAGCTATATAATAAAAAAAATATTGATAGTATGTTGTTAAAATCAATTAGAATATCCAAGTTACAGTAACTATTATGTTATCCTGACATGTAATAAGTTTGTTTCATATTCATAATGTAGTATTGTAAACGTTCCTTGTTTAAAAGCATGGTCAAAGTAAAACTATCAAGGCGCTGTTTGGATAATTATCTTAATAAATGGATTGGTTTGAAGCTTGACTATAAAACATGGTAAGGAACTACATACATTCATTTTCCAAAAGTTCATGACAAAATAAGAAAGCCTCAGATGATGAAAGAGCACAAATGTGCTGTACCTTGTGAGTCAACAAAAGTTCATGGACTTACTCATGATCTGGTCTGCAAGAGTCTTGTCTTCGCCATCTTCATTGCTGGATAGCCCTGCTGACACTGCATGGAAATGATCCTGTGCTATTTTCAGTGCCTTGCTGTCTTCTTGACTCTTTTCTTCCAGTTTGATGAGAAGGTCATTCCGCTTCTTCAGCTCTTTTTCTTTGTTCTTTAATTGAGCTTGATCCTGAACAATTGATATGGAATTTTGTATAGGTAATAGCATGATTTCAAGTGCAATTTGGTGTTAATAATCACAAGTAAATTTTTCAAAGACAACAGAACAGGCGAGTGCAATTTGTGGTCATTGTAAAGTTTACAAGTGCATATTACATCAAATTGCAAGAGAAATCATGCTATTACTTGTTAATAATGTACATGAAAAAACATCACAGAAAGTCAGGACAGACAAAATTTTGAAAGTGTACATGCACTATTTGTAATTTGCTTTTGTGTAACAACTTTGCACCTGTGTTACCTTACATTGCACTTGTTTTCAGTTAATCAGAAGCCCATAATTTTTTCACATACACTATTAAACCCTTTAACTCCCAAGAGTAATAGGCATCTAGTTTATCCCAACAATACCAGCCCTGGATCAAGCATTAAGGACAGTACCACATGCATAAAGAACAGTTAAGAGAACAACGATGTATCACTCTCACACTGTCTGTTCTCTGCAAAGGAGTACAAATGAGTACCTACAAATTGTTTTGGAAACTTGCTAGTGCATTAGGGGAATGGGGGTATGTGTTACCTAAAAGGATTGGCATCTCATACAGCAAGTGGCTTTGCTCCAGGTTGCTTCATGTATATGAAACTGGTACAAGTTCTCATGATAATAGGCCATTAGAAATGCATATGTTTACTAAACCAAACCCTTCCTATAACAGTAACAGGAACCACTCATGTAAAAAAGTGCAGAAGAAACCTCTCAAGCTGCAAATGCTTATCTACTCACATCATCAAGGCTTTTCAGGAGTGCTTTTTTCTTCTTTTTCTCAGCTGCCAAAGTGTCCTTCATGTGTTTCAAATCAGATTCTGTCTTAACATCAACCTGCCAAAGAAGACAAAACTTAAAACTACCCAAAATACTGGTAAATACTACATGATTACACACAAAAAGAATTCGAAGTGCTGACAGCTAGGGAACTTCACCAGTGTTTCATTGTTTCTTCAGTCAATAAATCAAGGTACCACCAAGAAGACTCAGCAAAAAGATAAACTGAAAAGTGTGATGCTAAAAAACATTGGAACCTTTGCTTGCTTCAAATGATGCTGTAAACATTTTCAAATCAGGTTGAGTTAGAACATTTGCAAGTTAACACCTACAGCTGTACGTTGTCCTTTATACATAAAATATACAAAATCTGATATCACAGCTCTGCATGGTTAATTCAATTTAGTGAGGTGTAACTAAGGGTGAACAAACACAACACACAAGTCATATCTATTACCTTTGAAACCTCCTCAAGTCTATTTTCAAGTTTTTTCAGGGCTGATCCAGACTCCTGTTGAACAACAGAAAAGTAAAATATTGAAAATTTAAAAGTATAATTTTATGTAAAATAACAAGCTAACATTTGTATACTGTGACAAATACTCACTGGGGAGAGAATGAGAGAAAAGAGGTACAAAAGGGAAACATGCAAGACAAGGATTAATTAGCCATGTAAGGTATGTAAAATTACATCATGTAAAGGCTAGTGCAGAATAGGGATTAAAGTGACTTTTTATGCAACTTCAAATTCACTTTTTTCACCAGGAAATGCATTTACAAGATTATGTGAAATGAGAAGCTAGCCATCCATAAGAGTCACTGAAGACTTTCATCAAGCAACACTTCATTCCAAGAAGGAAGAAAGGAAAAATTGCAGGATGAAGTGCTTTGCACAATGTCATAAAGATGTTCAGTTGTCATGTATTTTTCAGCTGCACCATACTGGTTAGAGGTGTGTTATCAAGTGCAGTATCCAAACTCAATGGTTTCAATTGAGGAAGACTGTTATCAGTATTGAAAAGACTTACAGCAATCTTCTTCTTTTCTAATTCAGAGATGACTGCACTTAGTTCTTTAACTTTTCCTTCAATCTGCAAGAGACAGGTACAAAACAAAACAATGTATAAATCACTGCATGTCTTAAAATGAACTTAGAAAGAACCAGACTCTATTACCTCTTCACATCTCTTTTTTAGTTTGACATTCTCTTGTTTAATGTTCTCTAGTTCAACTCCAGCCTTTTTCTGCACATCCTGAGACAACAATTCATGAAGTAATTAAATAGAGCATAACACCTGTTCATAAAGTGCTAATCCTGTAAATTAAATCTTATGAGAAGTTACATGTATATACTACAGAGAGTCATACTTCATAAATTAGCCAAAAAAACAGCTGACTCCTGTCTGACTGAGAAAAAAACTTTCCACATGTAAATGTCCTGATAGTAGGTCAACATTATAACCCCATCGAGAACTACGTACAGTATAACTTTTAATTGCATGTTGGTTTACCATTTACCAACTAGTGGTAATAATATTGACCATAATATTGACTAACTCTTGGGCTCTTAATTGTTCATGTAATCCCTAAAATTTTTACCTCTGCCATCACAAATTGATGAGCTATATAGAGTCTTGAAAGATGCTCCACCTCTCTCATGACTTTTTGATATTCAAGATAAGATGCTCTCTCCTGATAAAAGTAATAATTGGAAATTAAAGGACAAAATTTATGTGTAAGATAAGTTTGTTCTAACAAGCAATGGCAATGCAGGTATCACAACTCATGTTTTCACAGTTACAAAGCACACTGTACTTACACCAAGAATTTGTAACCTGTGCTACACAACCACATCTGATGTCAGATTACATATAGTATAAAGATGGATTAATGTTGGTACTTTTTTGCATTCATCCTTAAAAAAATTGAGAGGAAGTGATAAATAATCTTTGTTAGACTCACCTCTTTAAGTTTGGTCAAGGTTGGAGTTATTTCTTCTGCAAGAATCTAGTGAAATATACAGAGTTACACCAGTACATGTACACATAAGAATCTATAATCTATCAAATATTTGTGCATGCACACAATCTCACTAGGCTACTAAGCTACATGTGGTCATTACTACACTCTGGGTTTACATGTGACACTGTCCTCTGCTCAAGACAAGCTGAATTTTTAACATCTTTCTCAACAACTGAACTAAAATTTACTTCCTTTCTTTCCTATTAATATTTACTCACATGACTCTTTTGACATTTCTCAGAGCATTGGAAAATAAAATCCAAAGATCTGAGATTCAATTCCCTATGGAAGACTTATATTTTTCATTATCTCACACTAATGACATCTTTCTTTATCTCACAACCAGGCTCAAAATTAACTACCCTTCTCATTTTATTTAATATATCTGGTTTTTCATAATAAAATTTATTTTCTTACAGTTTCAATCTCTTGTAGTTTGCTGTCCTTTTTCTCAATGGTGCGCTGTGCTGACAGCTTTTTACTCTCATACATTCTTGTTCCAGCAGCTTCCTCTATCATAGACAGTATCTGGTGAGGAAAAATAGGATATTACAGAATGAGCCTTCCATTTCTTCTCCCCTAAGTTCCCACTTCCATGCTTTTTCTTCCCACAAGGCATCAACACTCAACCTCTCACAACTTTAGTAAATAAAGGTGAAAGGATTTTAACTGATGGTGTTCATATTGAAATAACACCAAATTGTTTTTAATTTGTAAAGAAAATCTACAACAGCTAGTAGGGAAAATTTCTTGCTAAATCTTGGTACATGTAGCTATGCAAATTTAAAAGTTTTGGTGTGTGAGTACAAGTACATTGGCAATTTGAATGGACCTTCAGTCCATCAGATAAAGAAACAGGAGAAGAAGACTGACACAACAGACTATATTATATAAGAGTGACTAGCATCTAATGTCTCCTTGCAATGTTACCCTTGAATTGCACATTAAGGAAATGATCACCAACTCAAGAAGTTTTTGATTGTTGAACAACTTCTCCAAATCAGTACCAAAAGAAATGTATTGAGAACAGTAAGGAGAATACACATACTGATCGTGGGTTATAAAGAGTAAAGGAACTAGCTATATTACTGTAAACTTACTTCAGGTGGTTTCATATTCAGCACTTTAGTTATTCTGCCCTAAAACAAGAAGGTAAGCAGCAATACTTAATTAAAATAACAGTAATAGAAAGGTACTTTTGTACAAAGCTGTGAACCTCGGGCAAAAAATGGAATAGTTACCAATACATCTCCATTATAAAACACTCTTAAGTTGATAAATACTGATTTTATTCATGTACATCAATTAATTACATAAATCTCATTGTATGCCAATAAAATTCAACTTCCCTAACCGTTTGACCCCTGAGAGTGACAAGCATCTAATTTCTCCTTACCACAGCATCCCCAAATCAAACAGAAAATTTATGAGAATAAAAGAAATGATCACCAACTAAAGAAACTATTGATTATTTAAAAATTTCTCTTTGTCAGCACCTTAGGGAATGTATAATGAACAGTGTGGAGAATATGCATACTGATGTCAAGGTGTAGAGGGTCAACTGAAAAATTACTGTTGGTAATGAACAGCTTCATTACTAACCTGCATGATAAGAAAGTGAGGATTGTTTACATTGAGCTGAACTGAACGAAACAAGTCTTGAACTCTGGTGTTGTTAGCATTGCAGCCATTGATTAAATACTTGTTCCTGCCTCCGATAACAACCTTGATTGAATGTAATAATACAGTTATTTTAACCATAACAAATGCCTTTGACTTGCAAATTTAATTACCAGGAAACACAGAAAAGTATAACATCACTTTTCCATTTCTGTTTTAATCAAGAAACAAATCAGACAAGAGAAAACTAAACCACAACAGCAACTGTAAGTAGGACTGCTTAAAAGTAAGTTGACACTCCTTTGAAACTTGATCCTTGATTCTCAAAACAAATGTGGATCGAAGATCAAGTCTATAGATTTAAAGTGTGTGCTTGCATCATGTCCTGAACATTATTATGATTGGTCAGAAAATAGTTGAAATGTTTAAATCTCATCAGAGTGTTCAAAGTTTTGTAGAACCTCTCTTAGAAACTACGACATCGTCAAGAATGACCTTACCTGTCTAGAAACTGTAATTTCTTCAAAAGATTCATATCCTAAAGGGCTCTGCTTCTTGTCTGTATTGTCAAAGGTGATTGTAACTGTAGCTTTGGTTACCCCTGCCTGTCCACCTTTGTACACCAGTTCTTGTAAACTGCTTGCCCGTACCTAGAAGTAATATATAGATTTAGCCAGGCCTAAGAGCAGAGCTCGCATTTTTTTTTTCCCATGCATCTCAAGGGCATAATGCCTTACCCCTGCCAGGAATAGAACCTAGGTCGTCCAACTTGGAGCCCAGTGCACTAACCACTGGACTACTGGACAAAGACGTGGCATTGGCGTGCCCATGGTACAGTTGACCACACATGTTAAAAGTAGCACCTTGTACAGTCATACATCCAAATTTTTTTGGCTTAATGGGCTACTACTATATTTCTTAATGGGCTACTACAATATGAATTAGAGACATGTTAGGCTCACAGCCACTGTTCTAGAAAAGAATTGTGCATTTCAGATAGCATATGATTTTAGACTCAGGGTACTAGAGCCAAGAAATCAGAAGAATGGTAGGGAGCTAAAACTATCCCTGATATTCCCAACAGTAAAAATAGGAGTTTTCATACATATCTAATGATCACAAATCATTGCAAACAATTGGGAATGTCTTCAATTTAGTGTTTTCATAGGTCAGAGAACTCTGAGATGGTCAGGGATCAGTGACATCCTTTATGTGGCTAGGATTTTCCCAACATATGAAAACCAGCCTGAAAGAGTACCTTGCAAGGAGATGCAGAAGGAGTAAAAGAAGATGTAAATCTTTTGTTTTCTGCACTTCCCAGCTTTATTTATTGATAACGAGATGGATCTCTGGCTATATAAATTACGAAAAATAATAAATGAAAGTATTGTTCAACAGACTTGAGTATAGTTTGGAATAAACACACAGAACTTGAGAACAAGTCAGAACTTGATTAGTTCAGGGTGCAATCAATACTTGTAAGATTTTAAGATATGATTTAAAAGGTATCACAAACCCAAGATTAGAACCATGGTAAAATCGTAATTTGCACAGCTGTATAACCACTGTCAATTTGAATACAACGTACAACGCTGAACGTATCAAGGTCGAGACAGTTCTGCTCTACTATGCTTTCGCTTAAAAACGAAGATTCCCATAATTCTTGTACTCTTCCACCACTAAAGTATATGGAAGAAAGTTAACGTTTACCTGTGTTAAGTTCGAAATTCCAAGAAGGAAACAAATGGAGTCAAGTATGTTTGATTTTCCGCTGCCGTTCAGGCCTGTGATCGCATTAAACTGAGGATCGAACCCAGAGATGGTCGTCCGTGTAGCATACGACTTGAAACCGTCAATAACGACCTGTTTAATGTACATTTTAAACAAATTTCGAAGAAGAAACGTGTGTACAAAACGGTGAAAGAAACATCGGTTTGTCAACGGAGCCCGGCCGCTTATTCTTCCCGCCGAAACCTTCCCAGAGGCACTTGCGATTCATATTTATCCCGATTACCCGAGCCGTCACGCACAGGGGTGTAGGATCCGGGGGCCCGTTTCTCGAAAAGTCTCGGTAACTTATCGGGCCCGAAGCCACATTTTAAAATCTAAATTTAAAGAATAGAGAATTAGATAGTGGCTCTCAGACCAGTTCATTTTGTCTATTTTGCTGATTGTTTAATTCTATAATTTTTAAAACTTTTGAAATCCCCATCTTGAATGGAAACAGAACAGCTTTCCTGGCCCGTTAAGTTACAGGTTTTCAGCGGGATTCCGGTGTGACAACGGCACGGGACCCGGTGTTATCTTGACTGGAATGTTAACGGGATCCTGGAACGTTCCCGAGAGGGAATCCGATAGGAGTCGGGTGTGTTTTGGAGTGTTTCCCGTAGTCCAGGGGATATCGACTGAATGGGTGAATATGGACGTCTCAATTTCCGGAAATCGAAAAAGTATATATTTCTATACCCCCACAGTAGAAATCGACTCAATGCTGAATTTAAAAGCTCCTTTTAACTACTGCAGCGGCCAAGCGCAGCCAACCGAAAATGCCTCAGAGTTCCTAGAGCGGCCAAGAAAATGACTTCTTTCCACTTGTTCGTCCCGTCCCTGAAGATAGTGTTATCAGTCCTATACAGTTGTCCTTTTGTTAAATAAGTTTTGACCAATCCAGTCCAACCAACGGCACATATAACTCTTAATCCCGCGCGGAGTGCGGAGCAACGTAATTGACCAGAAAAAATGTAAGAGAAAAGTCCATGCAAATGATTATTCTTTCTACAAAGCCTCAGTTTTCATTGGAAACGGCACTGAAGAAGAGGTTCTCGCAACTCAGAACACTTTCTAAAAATATTTAGCATTTTTTTAGCTGCTTCAGCTCTTTTATCACTCTTCTTTTAAAATTAACCCCACAAGTCACACTGTACTTATTCAACTATAATTCATAAGGGGAATGGAAAAAAGCTCTGAGTGACTACTGATGGATTGTTGACCTCTCCTTAACAATTTTCTCATATTTCCTTGTAAGACGCAGGGAGAATTTAATGTTACATTAAATGTTACCTTCAGGCTTTTTACCTCATATCCCTTAAAACAACCCTGAAGCAAATAAAAAATGCAGACAGCTAATTCTTTGGATTCAAGTTTAATAATTTTTTCCAGACTTAAATTTCTCCTTTTGTCTGTTCCACATCAATGCTTTTCAGCTGTATACATGCATTGACCTTTAATAGAATACATGTGATTACTCTTTCCCTATAAATACCTTTAACATCCTTCACTGAAGTACATTTTAATAACTTAAGTTAAATCTTAACCATGTATGCCTTGAGTTAGAATCAGCTCATCAATAAATCAGCATTGTTGAAACATCAGTTTCAGCACACTACAACTAGAAAATCCTTTAAATATCTTGCATAGTCTCTATGTATATCACCAGATAACATTGCAGAGAACACAGTGAATGTTACTTAAAAGTAACATGCAAAAAGTCAAATACATGGCTTGTGACAATAGAATCATTACAAGCTGTTTCCCACATTGATTGCTTTGGAATTTAGATACAGAAACTGCAGGTTTAAGGTGTAAATTCTTAAGTCAAACTTTAGAAAATGTCAACTCTGGAAATATTTCAAAAACTTCCTTACCAGATGAAAAATTAGAACCACAAACTATTGCTCCTCACAGATATGCTCTCTGGTGAGTGACATTCTTAAATATTTCCACTGTTCATGGTTTTAAAAGTTTGACAGTAAGGTTCCCTCAAGCTACCTTTTCAACCCTTTCACTTCCAGTAGTGACCAATACATAATTTCTCCTTACAGCATCTATACTATGTCATGCCCAAAAATGATGAGAACTAAGAAAAATGTAAATGAAGTATTACTTGATCCAATACCAAATTCTCCAAACTGGCATCACAAGAATTGTATTACAGACAGTAAGGAGAATTACTAATAAGATCATGGGAGTGGAAGGGTTGAAGTTACTCACTTTAGAAATCAATAACCCTTATTTTTACAACATATCCTGTTGTAACAGATTCTAGGCTAGTTTAGCTATAATGATGAAACTGAAAAAGTTCAAATTGTCACATTTCAAGCTTAAACTCAGTAAAATTTTTGAAAAATGCCAGCTAGTGAACAGTCTGTTCTTAACCCTTTAAACCTTGAGAGTGACCTGAATCTAATTTTTCCTTAACCCTTTCACTCCCACAAGTGACCAAGACAGAATTTCTCCTTACAATATCAATACAATATCAAGCAGGCAGGTGATGAGAATAGAGAAGAATATCAATCATGGGATTATTAGTTGATCCAATACCAAATTCTCTGAACTAACATCATAAGAATTGTATGGCAGATAGTAAGGAGAATTACTAATCATATCTTGGGAGTGAAAGGGTTAAAGCAATACTGCTGAAGCATTCATTGAGTTTATGAGAGTACAGGTAAAGAAAATTATTGCTAACCTGAGAAGTTTTGATTGTTAAACAAATTCTCCTTTCCATTACCAGACAAATGTATAGAGAAAAGTATGGAGAATATGGATACTGATGTTCGCAAGTAAAGGGTCAATAATCATTGCTGTTTCCAACCCTACCTAATTTGAAAATCAAAATATTTCTTCATAAATTTACAGGCCAGAAAGCTGCAACATGAAGAAAATACTGACAAGCATTAACAAACACCTGTTTCAAAGAGAAAACATTTGCATTCAGCTTTTATCTCTGAAACCATTTTTTTGTGACAAAATTGGTCACTTGTGTTGACCACAAAAATAAATTATTTCTTGGTAGGTGAATTTAACTTGCATAACTTTTTCATTTCCACAATTATAACAATACAACTAATATGGCTTATTTCAAGCTAATAACACCCAAAGGGTTATGGAAAAGCTTAAACATGACTAAATATGAGATTTACGCGCGGCAATGACAAGTGCACTATTAAGAAAATTGTAGCCTCCCTAGGAGGGTTGTGAAAGTAGATTTGTTACCAATATTTCCTCCTGTCAAAGGTAGGGTGTGGGATATTCTGTGAGACAACATGACTCTACTTGATTGACAATAAACCATTCACCAAAGACAAATTCAAGAAAAAAAAATAACACTGATATTATCCTTGAGCTATCAGTCACAAGTAGTTATGGCTATCCCCTCCTGTACAATTTTTTCAAATTAAAACAGATCCGAATATAGGTTTTTGAGGTCTCAACTCTCAGAATCATTCAATCTTCCTTAAGATGGTAAACAGCAGTGTTGGGAGAAACTGGGAGTTAATCAAATAGTCTTGTTAATTGACCCATGACCAAGACAGAGTTTCTCCCTACAACACCATGCCGACAAATGATGAGACTAACGAAAAATCTTATTAGGAGATTATTAGTAGATCTTCAAACTAATATAACAAGAATATTGAGGCAGACAGTAAAGAGAATAACTAACTGAATCTTGGAAGTGCAACAGTTAAGAGTTAACAGAAATACAATTAATTGGTGAGTTTTTAGTAAAATTTTTAGTCAATTACTATTGATATGATCATTTGATCAAATTAATGAAATCAATTTGTCATAATGTTGGGAAATAACCCAGAAGTAAATTCTCAGACAAAATTCATGAACCATTAGGCAGGCAAGTAATGAGAATAAAGAAAATTATCAGTTAAGAGAAGTTGAAGAACCAACTTTAAATTTTCACCAAGAGGTAAATAATGGTTGGTAGGAAAAAAAACTGCAGTTTAGTCGATGAAGAAGAACTAATCATAAATAACACTCTATCATTCTATCAGTCTATCTAACAACCAACAGAGCTGCCACAAAACCAAACCTGCAACTTTGCAAAGATCCTTAAAATTTCAAATGAAATATAACATCATTCCTATTCAGAAGATACAACATTTTACAGAGATCAACAAGCACAGCCACTGTCCTGTTGCTGAGGAGGCTTGTCAGATATCTTTGTTGTTCCAGGCTTCTGTCCACTAACAATAGTCGGATCAGAATCTAAACTCTCAGACATCTTGTCACAGATGATGTCCACCAGACGCTCAAACACTTGTTTGACATTGACATTATCCTTTGCACTGGTTTCAAAGAACTCCAGCCCAAGCTGGTCTGCAAGCTGCTTCCCTCTCTCATAAGTCACAACTCTGTCTTCCTCCATGTCGCACTTGTTTCCGACAAGGATCACTTGTGCATTTGACCAAGAGTAGGTCTTCACTTGTGTTGACCTGTGTTCAAGGAAATGAGTCCAATCAAAAGGTACTATTTACTCTAAGACATGTTCATCATAAGTACAAGGTTAATCTAGTCGTTGCATAATTCACTTTAACCTCCACAAGTGATCAATATGTAACTTCTCCCTTCAAAATCCACATATCATCTAGCACACATGTAATGAAGATGCTCAATATTGTCTGGTAGAAGTTGTTATCTTGATCTAAAACTAAATTCTTGTAACTAATTTAAAAGGAAATGTGTAGAAGCTAAAAGGGAGAATTAACAATCAAATCTTGAAAGTTTAAAGGGTTAAAGTTGGTTTGAAACTCTGAAAAGCTTCATACTTGTCACTAATTTGGCGACAAAAAAGACAAAGTCCAAACAGTAGAAGAGATTTATTTATTCCTCAGTTTACTTTTAATAAAATTAATTGAATGAAATTGTTTACCTGGTTAACTTTTGGCAATTTTCATTTGTCATCCTTTACTACTCAAGCGTAAACAAGGCGTTACGTGTGATTAAATTTAAGTCGCACATCTTACAGAAACTTATGCCAACTTCTGTCATGTTTTCAGTCGCAAATGAAATGAACCGGGCTAAAGATAAATATATTTTTGTACATCTGGTTTGATCGAGACTAACATGGTCTCTGATCTGGTCTAAAGATATCGCGGTATCTTTCAATTAATCGTTGACTTGTCTAGAGCAAATTGCACAAGAAAAGACTATTACAAAGCTGAGATTTAATGTAATCTCACAGCTTTTTACAATATACAAATCAAATACAAATTCTATGCGATACGTCGTAAACAGGACGAACTTTCCGCCCCCACAGGAAAATTCGAGTAAGATTATAATATGCAAATATAAGCTTGGCCATGCGTGATACAAAGAATTCTAAACTATAAACACGTCCAACATTTGAAACAACAAAGTTTACAAAATTTCCTCCCGACAGAATATTAAGGCCTTGAATGTAACCACCGCGTATTCTCACGAAAGGACTTAGTAAAAAGTTAATCTTTCCAAATTAGAATATTTATTCAATTCCCACCTTTGCATTCTTTGAATTTTTCGATAATTTTTGAATAAATCTTCGGCCGACGCGATCGAGCAGAACTGTCTCCAGTTAAACATTTTGTCGTCAGCGAAGGCGAAAATAGATTTTCTAGCATTTACAAAGTGATATTCCCAAATCAAATTTCTGTTTTCCTTTACTGCGACCTTCGAAAGTAAATTGTTTTGATGTAGTGAAATTGACCCGAACGAATCGCAATCTGCTTGAAATTTCGGTTTACGGAAATAAGATATTAAAATTAATTTTCCTTAGGTGAAATCGCGACGAGATGGAAATTTGCCGGCTGAACTAAGATCACCGCCGAAAAATATTAAACATAAAAAAAACCTTACCAATCTTGCACTGCCTGAAATGACTCTTCATTGGTAATGTCATACATCAGGATAAACCCCATTGCTCCACGATAGTAGGCAGTAGTTATTGTTCGATATCTTTCCTGACCGGCTGTAAAATAATGTAAATAATTACACAAGCTATTCGGAAAAACTAGAAAAGACGAATAGAAAATAACAAACGCACCTGTATCCCAAATTTGAAGTTTCACACGCTTCTCGTTTCGAAAAACCGTCTTCACTTTAAAATCGATTCCTACCGTTGAAACAAAAGCGGACGTGAAGGAATCATCCGCATAGCGAAAAAGAAACGATGTCTTGCCAACTGCAGAATTTCCAATGATCAAAAGCTTGAACATATAATCGAAATTCTGATCGGCTGCATCTTTCTGCCACTGTTTGTCGTTAGCAGTCGCCATGTTTTGAGCTCTCGAATACCTCTCGCTAAACCGAGTCCCCGGATATCATCGTCCACGGACCTATCACAATCGTCAGAAAATGATCAAATTAGCGAGTAGCCAATCAGATTTGGCAAAATTCACCTGTCTTCAAGCCCCGCGCCCTCGCGCGAAATTGTAGCGATCACAATTTCCTTGTCCGCCATGGAAAATATTCGAAAGAGTAGTATATTTGCACTAAAAAATTTATCCAAACCTTGGTGTAAATTAATCCTCAATATTGGTGGGTTGAAGAAACCATAATTAATTTCGCAAACTTGTCCTTTCAGATTTATCATCTCTCAAGATGTTTCTGTGACCAAGATAAATCTCCTAGCACATTTTGGGTTTATTAGTTTATATTGAGGAACATCAAAAATAACGGATGTGATTGATTAAAGAGTAACCCTTTGTCCCTTATTGAATTTCTGAGTGGTTTAAAATTGAAAAAGTGACACAGTGACTTTTCATTTCTTTCCAACTCCCTGATCCCTATCGTTATTATTCTGAGTTCATCTTAAAAACTTCATTACTTACAATAAGATATGCATTGAAATAAATCAAATTGTTTTGAGAAGAACTAAACTCCCCGGCTTTCAGGACGTAAAAACTTAAAACTTTCAGGTTATAGCAAACTGACTTTACCGATATTATAAAATAATGATTTAATTTTCCTTTCTCACAGATATATTCATTGAGGATCGATAGCTAAAAAAATCGCTTTTTTGGTATAAAATCTTTATCTGTCCCTGATACTGGTTTCCCTAGTTACCTGATATCAGATGAAGCATGGGAATAGAATATTTCCCAGTCAAATGCCATTTTAATGAAATCATCTACTTAAAATCGCTTTAAGTTTTTTTTTTTACCCCTTGATGCGAGTATCAGCGAGAAGGATCTGCCTGTTCTCGGAGGTAGAAATTAAGTAAGATCAAGGATAAGTTAGTCCCATTATTTTCTCTTCATAAGTTTTCAGTGTAACTGGCATCCGACGACGTTTCAGACAGAGCCCTGTGGGGTGTTAACCAGATTTTAGCGATCAGTGTTAATTGTAGAGAGCACCCACCCTAACATTTCAGACAAGCAGATACCCGCAAACTAAACGAAAAACTATTGCTCTGCTGCATCGGCGACAAAACTGTTACTGGTGTTTCACTTTGTTATCGGTACCTTGTCAATGACAGTCGCTCAATTAATGGAATCGGAAACGAGTGAAATAGCAGCATGTGGTACACGGCAGTGGTCAGCAGCCGTTTCCTTGACAACGCCTCCCACCGTTTGCAGATCGCCCAATCTTTCGTGAGTTTCCTCCGACAACGTGCCTTTCTTCTTTCTAGCATCTATTTCTTCATCAGAAGATTTATATTTATTTAAAGTAAGACCCTCTGTTAAACCCGCGTTTAATTTGTTAATAGTATCGTCAAACTCCACAAGAGCTTTCGTAGCCTGTTTTAAATTGTTATAATAATTATTTAAATAGCTAATATAATTTATGTGCCACAAAAAGGTTCATGTACAACCAATGAATTAGAGAGAGCAACCACACATTTATCTTGTAAGCTGTTTTCCATGTGGAGCTTAAAAAAAAAACATGCGAGAGGTCTATGCCAAATTTATCTCACACCCTTGTAATACGAGAACACAGTTTGCTGTGAGATTAGAATTCTCTTTTTCAGAATTCCAATATTTCAGGGCCTCAGCGACAGATCGAGACCCCAGTTAGGGTAGGGAGGGACCTGAGGGTAATTCGGAATAGGGTGCGCCTTATTCCACAATTTATACAATTCTGTGCCATGGTCAGGATTCGAAGCCCTAAGCGAAGGGTCCCTTCCCATCCAGCCCTTATCCTTTCAGTACTCCCCCCCCTCCCACTTCAACGGGGAACAAAGTAACTCCTGATTTAGCTTCTTGTGGCTCTTTACACCCAAACATCAGTATGCACATTCTCTTTAATATTCTTTATAAATTTCTTATAGTGCTGACCAGGAGAGAGGCCTTGATGTGTGATTCAGGGTTGATATTGCAAAAAAAAAAAAAATTAAATTCTAGTCACCCTTTGAGGTCAAAGGGTAAGTGGAATTAATTTTGTTTAGAAAGAGACTTGGGTAAATGGATCTTATATTTGTCTTAAATAGGGTCGGCTGGATTACTTCTGACTTCTTTAATTCAATGTTTGCAAAGCTGGAGACAATCAAAGTCAAATTTAGTGCGGCTGTCAACAATCTCTGAAAATCTTAGCATTCCAAATACATCCCACTGAAAATTAGAATGATGAATACAAAAGTAGCATTTTGTGTATTCAAATGAATATGGGTAATTTGAAACTAGATGTTTATTTCATGCAAGTCATAACGCGCACCCCGTGAATATTCAATTTCGCGTTAATAGAGGAATAACACTTACCTTGTGTTTTCATGTTGTCAAGGAAGTAAAACGATTGCTGCAAAATGTACATAGCAAACAAATTCACCGAGGAACAAATGTTATTTTATATCATGCCGCCTGACTGAAAGATAGAACATAATTGTTAGAAATTGTTTTTGGAGACTAACAGAGGGGAAAAGCAACTATGAGCGTTAAACACTGAGAGAGTCTTGCCAAATGCCTCGGTAAAAGCTGGAGAAACTTAGCTCTGTTTGTGAAATTGTATCCAATCGAACCAGCTTCATCTAAGTCTCGTTGAGCCTCGTTGTACATAACAAGGTAAGAATTAAGAGCTAAAAAGCAAACCGCACAAATGAATGCTACCAGCATCATGTAAACTAGAGCAACGTGTTTGATTCAAAACCGCGAATTGTACTTTTCAATAAAAACAACTCCTGATAAAAAGATGAATTTATTTGTGCGCCTTTGACTTTATAAAGTATATTTCTCTTTGTCTCCTTTTCTCACAAGATTTTTCGTTTTTATTACTTCTCTAAGCTTATTAAAACAAATTCAACTTCAGAATTTGCAAACATACAATACTCGCAAAGGTAGTTTTTTTCATTAGCGTTACAAAATTATAAACAAAGTCTTACCTATATTGTCTAAGTACTGAAATTGTTTATAAAAGTGTGGAAATGAGTTAGACATTTCTAGAAAATATCTTGACATTTACTCAAACAACATTGTCGCAAGCCAAAGTTAGCAAATGGGCTGTGCAGCTGTTCTTGTGTTTTTCAATCGCATTGAGGTTGAACAACCGAGAATGTTTCACTTCGAGTGACTGAAGGTTTGACTTCATCTTGCAGAAAAGGTAAATAGAACGTTCAGTTTTTTAACGAAAAATAATTTAGAATAAATGTAAATTTGTTTTTCCATTACAGTATTGCTTTCGTGCAGACGTAAACCTTAAGAAAGCGGCGACCCCCCTCAAACTCAGGAGACAGGCACTATATTGATGCCATTATTGCATGCAAGGAAATGAAACGAAACAATCTCCAACAGATTTTGAGCTTTCATTGCTAGGATGGGAAAAGTAAGATGTCGCAGCAAAATTTGTATTTCGGTTTCATGAAAAGAAATTTTCACTTTTTTTCTTTGACCTTTAAGATAATGCATGACTTTTCGTGTTTTTGCAGTGAGTCCATACACGGTTCACATAATGTTTATATTATTTCACCTAAGGACTCTGACTTGGGGTGTATGTTACGTAAATTAGGCAACAGAATCTTGACTGCCTTTACATGTTGTACTATCGGTGTAGAAATGGCCTCTTAATATAAAGAATAGTGTCAGGAGCGTCTCCGGCGAGTTAGTTTGCTTTCAGATGGCATTCTGTTTTGATAACTGAGAATTTCAAAAGAGGGTTAATTGGAATAAAAAATGAACTGACTTAACCCTGACGGCATTCAGTTTTTTTAAAATCAAAACTCATTCTCATGGACGCATCCACATATAGATGGACAAAAATGCTTCATTTTTTCTTATCTCAAATTTGTTACCTGTTCCGGTTCGTCTACCTCTCGCTGTTTCTCGCTCTAAATGCTCGTTCTCCTCGGTCGTCGGTCGTTGGTCGCCGTTCGTCAAAAAATCGCACTTAGTTTCGTGGTTCGTTTTTCCGACGCTCGTCGCCTTTGTTCGTAGTTGAACTGTCGCGTTCGTAATTCGTTCTATAACAGAACGGCCTCAAGATCCGCTAAAAAATATATTTTTAAAAAAATTGAAATTAGAACAATTTCCACCCGAAATGAAATATTACATTATTCGTTCTAAGGCCAATTAAGCATAATATTAAAGTTTTTTCGGTGACAGTAGCAAAGAAGTTGTTCGTAATGATCAATGAATTTTTTCACACCTGTAAATTAGCCTCTGATTTTAATGAAAAAACTCTTTAAAGTTACCGATGTACTTACACTGAAGATCATAACGACCTTCGAGAAAAATTTTAGACCGATAAACTGCCCATCACTTTTAATACTGAAAAGGCTGTTGGGGGTAATCTGTGGTTAATGAATTTTTAATAGCCTCGAACGGCCTCCATTTGGGTTTTTTGTGGCATGAAGAAGCTCTCAGAACGGAAATATTGTAGTTTAGGAGAGCCGTTGTTTTGACGATCCAGACCACTAAACTTAGGACTTCAATTATTTCACTAAATATGGTTAACATGAACTTTGATACGAAAAATATTTTCATGAAAGTTTCCAAATATTTCTCAGTAACAGCACTAGTTCGGTAAATCCAACGAAAACTTGAGCAGTTTGAATAAACTCAGAATTGCACGGTTGAGATAAAATCTCAGGATCTTTCAGGAATGGCTCTTTGACACTTTCATATTCCTTTGCACACAAAGAACTTCAGATTTCATGGCACTTCGTTCTCATATGAAAATTATAATCTCCGTCTCTATTCTTCATTTTTCTATAGCCTGGCCTTACTGGTTTCTCATCCAGACTCTTAAGAATCAACCATTACAATAGTCTATGGACTCTCTATATATACGATAACTACTTACCTTTACTTATCAAATTTGCGACAGATTCTCCATCATTGACTCGATGTTTACCATTTATAACAAATTCTTTTTGGAAGAAGTGCACTTAAAAGTGAATCGAAACTCGCTTCTCGTCTCCGAGTCCCAATTTTGATAAATTCGAGAAAGTTCTCAATGTTCGAATCTGTGCTATGGCTCATGGGCACAAAACAATTTTCTTTTCATTAAGAGAAAAATGGTCACACAAGTGACAAGCTCATCATGAGTCATAAACTCTTTACACCCAAACATCAGTATCTATATTCTCCATACTGTTCTCTATACATTTCCTGTGGTACAGACCAAGAGAATTTGTTTGAGAATTAAAGCTTCTTAAGTTGGTGATCATGTCTTTTATTCTCATGACCTCAATGAATGATTCAGTAGTATTACTGTATGGAGAAATTAGATACTGGTCATTCTTAAGGTTTAAAGGGATAAGGAAACACTTCTCCTGTTTGCACAGTACAAGAGCAATTTTGTTGTAACATGAAATTTGATGGCAGCTGAAGTTTCGTGAGAGTATTTTACCTCCGCAAATATATTAAGCATTTCATTAAATTCCAAATTGCTTCCTTGTTTAACTTCTGTATTTTCACCCTATGTCATATGACTTTATGTAAATACTGAGTGTGTCGGTTATAGCGATCAATTTCGGTTTTTGCACTTGAAAAAACTCGGTTTTCGGTGTTCGGTTTTTCCTTTCCTGGCTTGCTGTTTTTTGTTTTGTTTTGTTTTCGATCAAGGGGTTTCTGGTTTCTGATACTCGCCAGTTTCGTCATTTTACCGCAGTTTAAACCATTAGGCTCACGCGGTTCTTTCCGTTTTGATGAAAATTGTGGGCGGTATGTATTTTGGTTTGTGAATCCCTCCCCAATACATTGTGGACTTAAGATGTTGACTGTGGCAATGAATGGTCGGGAACAATTTCAGTTCGCGGTACGTACTCCCAGCTGTTGATAAATTTAGTCAAATTACAAATTTTCTTTCCCTCTAGAATTCTACGATTAATTGTACCTAGGGGCCATTTTCTTTAAGCTCCAAGAGCAATCAATTTGTTTTCAATTTTTAAAATTTTTGAAAAAAAAAAATGTAACATCCATGTTCCCAAAGATTTAAAAACTACTGGTGATACTGTAGCTGAAGATATTTTCGTCCGCTAAAAGTTGAACCCTCTAGCGTTAGTAACGATCATAATTCTATATTCCAGTTAAAGTGAGAAATTTCACACTGAATAATGACAGATCTCTGAAGACAAAGTGCTAGTAGACATTCATCTGAATATCAATGCTATTGAATAAATTGAATTCGGAACAGAAATCAGTCGAGTTTTAGAAGCAGTCTCAGGTAAACTTTTCAAATCTTTACTGATTATAGAAGGGCGGCGTCTTGATCCAAAGACAGTCTTCCACTTTACGCGAAAGCTCACCAAAAGGAATTAACTTCCTTTTCAAATTTAGAAAAACGAAGGCTCCTTTTTTCCGGAATGATAAAGGGTCTATGCGGATTGAATTTCTCTCACTCAAGCTGTGGAGCACATTTTCACTGTCTTTACCAAGATAACACGGCAAAAGGGAAAATTCTAGACTAAATTTCTAATGAAAATGGCTTTACCTTTACCATGATGACCTACAAAACAGTCCTGTTTCACGCTCACTGCAATAGCTTGCAAAAGGTATTCAATTTGTAGCATCTTCAGTAACAAAACTACTTTTTAAAAATACACCCCGTCGAAGCGCCTTCTTCGAAAACGTTGAGTAATTTTAATTTGTGTCTAGTAGTTTGGCACCAAACATCAAAAATTAACAATGCGAAAGGAACCTATATTATATTTGCTTTCTTTCTCTCTTTTTGGGTAAATTTGCAATCATATTTACTTTAAAGAACAGGTGCCTTAACTGCTGGTGGTATTCACAATCTTTTTCATACGCACCGCTCTCATAAAATTCCCTCTTTACAATTTCCACTTTTCCGATTTTAATTTTGCCTATTCTTGCACAACTTATTTGCAACTCACAGTCTACATTAAATTTCCTGCCTGGTGTATGAGCAAACTAATAAGCATGAAAGAAGGAGCAAATTTATAATTATACCCGAATAATCAAGAGAAGACAGTAATCGATATATGTGCTTTTGAAGTTCCGCTTTCAACTGAGTAAACATGGGGGACGTGACAGTTTTAGCCAACATTGAAGGAGTCCATGCATTTGTCTTCGCACCAGAAAGTTTACCAGGCGATTTCGCAAATCAAGCATAAGGATTTGGTCACATCAGTAATTTTTGGCTTGGAACTTAACAAATCCAACAAAGACAAAGGTAAGAAATTGGAACTTGAATGAAGAACACGAAACAGAAAGAGTCGTGCTGTTATATAACCATTTTTATCATAAAGCAGTTTTAAAGTCAGTTCAGTACGTGTAAGACATACCGAGCATTTTAATTTGATCTAGTTTCACAGAAATTGTTTATTTTTGCAAGGTTTTTCGTTTATCAAAAACTACACCATAACAAACATGAGTACTCTGATCTTTTTAAATCACTCTTTATGGCTCAAGCACGATACCTAAGGGCTGAAAAATGCTAAGCTAACGTGAGTCATCTCATAAAGAACAGTTCTTTTGCAAAAATGAAAATTTTTATAAAGCGAACAAGCATTGTGAGATGGTTCTGGTTTCTCATTTCTGAGGATTCTTGACCGTTACATTAAAACCTTTTGTGAACTAAAGCCATTTTAATACCTGTTTTGATAACTTTTCAATATTGAGTTTGATTATTTGGGGACCCTTACCTCCATTTTGCTAAATATGGAGGTAAGGATGACGCATTTTCCTAGACCGGATAACGGGATTCAACCATATCGTTAAACGCTTTATTCTTTCATGTTAGACACAACAATCTCTTTAGCCAGAGCAGAGCAATCTCTATTGCCAGGGCCGAGGCCTTTCTTATCTCTCTGTTTAGAGAATTAAATATTTTTAATCATTTTAAAAGCATATAGCTGTAGTTTACTGATCACTATAAGAAATCTGAGCTTGTTCAAGCAATTGGAGTAGCAGCTCTTTACTCAGAAGGATAATATTTAGAAGACCAATATTAATCTGTTTAGGATCTCTCTTAAATATGCACTTCCCTAGCTTATCTAAAGCATGATGTTGGAAAAAAATGTCATAGCAACGCTTAAACTGCGCTTGTAATTTTAACTGAGCTTTCCTGCAAAATGCTAATGTAATTTCGCACTAAAATAGTGTTTTGGTCTCATTACGGAACATGTTTAATTTATCTAAACAGTAATGAAAAACACCGAACACAGCTAGACAAACATGAATATCTAATGAGTCTGTTATATGAAGTTAGAAATTTCAACAATCAATAATTTTTTGATACAAGAAAAGTCCCTTTTTTTTTACGAGTTCTGTAATTTTTCAAATGGCCTGATTATTTCATATTTACTTTAGACGTTTGCGCCTTTGCATGAACATCCTTTGAAACTTTCAATATGCACTTTAATTATATTCATAAGAATGAAATGTTTGTATTTAATCACGGGTTAAATAAATCATGAAGGAAAAGCTTTCTTCCGATAAATCATGAAAATTCAAGTCGCTTGAATCTCTTTCACACTTTCAGTATTTTTCGGCCAGGTTTTGTTCATTAGCACTATAGATATTGGAAATTTTTTCTTTATTTTGCTGAGAAGTAGTCAATTATTTGCTTTCTAGTTAATTGCATACTAAATCACCAAACAATATGCTTGCCAGCTTGTTAAAACCGCGCTGACGGGTCTTCCGTTGAATTTTTTGTTTAGCACTCTCCTAAATGAAGCGAATTTGCCTAAAAAAAAACCAACCTAACAATTGTAGATAAAGTATCAAAATGAATGAAACCCTCACCTGGAAAATTACGGAAATTATACGAACCATTAAAGCACGTATTTCCCGCGAGGGCAACCACATGGTTTTCAAACTCAAGTTCAGTATCGCATAGCAACCTAACTGCTTTTCTACAGAAAGGTGTTACCAATTTGTCTATATTCCAGTCAACTTATATATCCTTTAAGTAAAAAGGCTAAAGATCTTTGAATAACACATAATGTATATAAACTGAAATGAATGCAAATTCGGTAGCTTAAACGTCTTGATGATTCAATTTCGATTGATCTCAAAGATGGTGTTTATAGAAAGCATTATTTTCTAGGGACCTATGATAGTTTGTCCCTCAAAAACATCAAGGAATTTTTCCTCCTCAAGAAGGACTTTTAAGTCAATAAATTGAGGTTTCTAAAATCACAGACCTGAAGTCTGAAACAGCAATAAAGGAATTGACCCCTAATGGCGATGGCTTTCAATTGAATGGCAAAGACACAATGATGATGATTTTAAAAAGCCTCTTTTCAATTTGCATTTTTCTTTGAATGAAAGCGAGGCTCTAGTTAGGAGGAAGCCGAGGAAGCCGTTATTGAAAGCTCGATTGCCAGCCACTGACCGGGGAAATGAGCACGTGCACCTTCTTCAAACTGACAGCCACTCTTTCCCGGGAGGCGAAGTGATGATAATCGTGCCTACCATTAGACAGCGTTCAGGAAAAAAACGGGGCGAGCTGTTTTCATCAGTTTGCCATTAAAGATGACCTCTGAAAATGATTCTAATAATAATACAAGTCGAACTTTGAGAGCTTAGTGGGGAAAAGTAGAAAGATGAAAGCAAAACAGAAAGAGAGAAACAAAGTGCGAGCACATAGAGAGAGCGATTTCAATCGTGATGGACTCTGGGACAGAGTAGTTATTCAGTTGAAATCTGTTGAATTGCATCGTACACGCCGTGCATGCCGGGAAAATTCAGTCCGCGCTACTACAAATAATGAAATCAAAATTGAGATAAAAATCATAACTTTGAGGGTTTTTTTGGTATCTGATGAATGAAAATCGAAAACATCCTGATTTAATATGGAAGTGAGTGTTTGTAACATTTCCAAAATAAACCAAAATAATAAAAATTGGTTGTTCATTACGCTTTTATCGTATTGCGAAATTCTGAACAATCCGTGTGAAAATAATTGAACATTTGACATGGTCATAATAGCCATCTTCTCTCTGCTTTAAGATGAAATGCCGGATGAAATTATGTATACAAATACATGTAATTCATTTATCTATATTTCAAGATGTCATCATTAGCAAACAGGTCATTATGATTGCTACATGTCAGTGGATCTCTGTCCAAATCACACGCAAAGAAAATCAATGTGAAAAGGTCAGAAAATCGGTCAAAAGGGTGAAAAGACCATGGATTTAGGTTACCTCGCCTGAGAAATACATCTTTTATAAATCTTTCTCCTCTTGTTAGGGTCCCGAACGCAGTGTTTTGAAACGATTAAAGGTCATGGTTAAGTGTATCAGGATAAAACATGTGTGTTCAACTTCCATCATGTATGATTTACAATGGATCACATTTGCATATAAATAACACATATTGCGTATTACTCCTATTAAATGAGTCAACTCGGATCACGATCCTACTCACGTAATACGAAAAGGGAAGTTGAACATTTTATGAAAATACCTTTGATGGAGTCTTGATCTGAAAGTTTTCATTCTCCTGCGGAATCGCAACATACTCTAGATCCGAAAGTTGTAAATTCATTCAGGTGTAAGGTACGTTGGTTGATTGTTTTGTCACGAACTTTTTCGATTGTTATTAAACCTTCATGGTTTTTCATTACTGCTCAGCATTCTCATTACACAGTTGATCGAGAGCTTGAGCGTAACTCTTACAGCAACCTGAGAAAAAGTCAAACATTTTTATCTTCTCCTTTCAGTCGTTTCCAAAAGCGTAATTATACATTCTTACTGTAAACAGGAAATTGTTTTCCATGTTTCTCCTTGGCATAAGGGATACTGCAACGTAAGTGTACTAAATAAGAATTCCGTTTTTGCCAATTAGCGTATGACGATGCAATAACTTTTTTATGCCTAGACACATATATCTTGACCTCATACACGAAAGGAAAAGAAATCCTGATTAATTTTCTTCAGAAATATTCTGTACCTTGCCCGAGTGCTTAAACCGACCTACATTTATTTATCATCTGGCCAATTTTCGTTTGCCTCAGGGGAAAAATGTAATAAATAATGCAAACAAGAGAATTAAATTCTTCGGATCACACTTGTTTATGGAGTCAGAAGTGTTGCCAACGAAAATGATTTTCAAACCTAAAAACAGTAGAATAGTTACTGTCGTAGTTTAAGTAATTATTCAGTTGTCAACTCGATATAACAAAGTTGAGAGCTCAAGTAATGGTACGTGTGCACAGAGAAGATAAAATCCGAAGTCTCCTGCATTGGGTCTAAAGCAGGAATACTTTACTCTAGCAGTTACTCGTAGGCTTCATCGGCTGAAGGAGCCACAATGCTCATTAAGAAGGGGACAGGCGCAAGCTGAATGAAAAACACTCCAGCATTAATAGCAATCTAGTTTCAGTCAACGTATACTTGCTCCATTGTCATTGCTCCTCTCCAGTAGGCCTGTAGCTTAACTTCTTTGTGCAATATTGCGACATTTATGCTACGCTTCTCTGATTTTAATCTTTCATAATTTATTTCATAGGAACGAAAAACAAGACATTTCCACAATGAGTGATCAACAAAACCAAAATTCATCGCTAAATGGAGATTCACAGGGGCGAAATAGCGTGGAAATTGTGCTGGAGTCCTTTACAGCTATAATCATCTTCCTGGCCTCAATTTTAACCAACTGCATCGTTCTATATGTCATAAGGACCAACCCTACCCTCAAAACTTTCACAAATAAGATAATTGCAAACTTGTGTCTCGTTGATATGGCCGAAACATTACTCATTATGCCATTATGGGTCACAAGTTTGATCAAAGGACAATGGATCTTTGGCAATATCATTTGTAACGTGTCAGGGTTTCTGTTCTTCGCAATGGCAAATGCAACTCTCTATTCGTTGCTTCTCATTGCGCTCAGCAGGTATTTCAAAGTCGTGAAACCCCAATTGTATAATGGCATTTTCTTCGCAAAGAAGAGCAGACCAAAAATCCTTCTTGCTCTGTGTTGGATTGCGCCTCTCATCATCTGCAGTCCACCGTTGTATGGATGGGGAAAGTATAAGTTCTACCCACAGTCTTTTCTCTGTACGTTTGAATGGTCATTTGATGGACTACACGTTTCCTACTTGGTCTTCCTTGCGATAACACAACCATCTCCTTACATAATTTGCTGGTGTTATTTCAAAATTTACAACACTGTTCGACGAAACAGAATCCAGATTTGCACCAGAGCAAACCGTGCCGCTTGCAAAAACGCTCATAACGCCGAGAACATGTGCATTCATACTACACTGGGCATAGCTTGCGTGGTCGTGCTTTGCTGGCTCCCAAAGGCAATACTTGTTCTTTTGTTGGGAGGCGGAAAAAAAGGATTATCTTTGCCTTTAATGATATCCAGTTATCTTGTGTTCTTAGCATGTTGCTTGAATCCCATCGTATATGGAATGATGAACCCTCAGTTCAAGCCAGCCTTCAAGGCATTATTTATAAAAAGAGGGATGAGGAATCCTGACCTTGCTGCTTTTTCCACGTACTCGATTCCAACGATACATTCAAAGTAGCCTTACCGTGGTCTGTGCATTACAAAGATTTTACCTAACTTTTCAAACATCCCAAAATATCGGGTGGCAGCTGGACAATGTCTTTACCATTTGCACCTGTATTACGTCATCTATCTTCCACTTTGGATGTAAGAATATGAATATGATCGACTTTTTATATTCAAGGAAAGAACAATAAAGTGTAAATTTGAATCTTATAATGAGTTTTGAAGTCTTCTCTACTCGGTAGATATACTAATCGTTCTCGCTAAGGTTGGTTCAGAAGCTTCAAAATGATTTATGCCACACTTGCTGTTTCCTTCTGCGTTTGCCGTTTCTCTTCTTCCTTTTCATTCCCTTAATTCATCCGATAAGTACTTTTGTTGTATAAACGAAAAAAATCTCAAAGCCCTCTCGAACTGTGGATTCAGTCTCATAGATTATAATAATAATAATAATAATAATAATAATATTAATAATAATAAAAGTCGAGACAATAGTAAAGTGTCTTAAATACAACCACATTTGATGATATACTTTGCACGTGATCCTGCCCCCATCCCTTCCCCCACGGTGAGATGAAGTTTTCAAAAATTAAGTCAACCACTTTATTATGTCAAGAAACTCAGTTTGCATAATCGTATTTCGTAGCTGGACAGTAATTTTATTATTTTTACCTGCATAACGCCTAGTACTTCATATTTTGATGTAACATTTTGAATATAATCTTTGTGATAACATGAAAAGAACGATACATTCCAAACTTTGAGTTATTTAACAAGTTTTGGCGGTATCCTTTACTCGGTAGAATAATATAAACTAATTGTTCTCGTCGAAGCTGGTTCAGTTCCCTCAAAATGGTTGGTGCCTTAATCACCAAGAAGGTCTCACTTAAGGTTTCCCTCATTTAATTTTTCTTCTCTTCCTTCCTCATTCCTTGCATTAATCTAGTCAGATGGATGAAATGACAAAGCCCTTTTCAAGCCCCTTTTGACCTGTGTGTTCAAAATCCCATAAATAACCGCTTGGTCCGCGTGTCATGACCCGAGTACAAATAATCTCCCGTCTGGCTCTCTCACTCAGTCAACAAGTTCACAGTATATTTAAAATCAGTCTGAATGATAAGCAAGTGGTTCAGCCACAAGAACCATCTTTCTGGTAAACGATCATCGACCTACGCAATGTGAAATGTTTGTTGCGTCAGTTTCGAAATCCGCTGACAACTTGACGTGCAAACGTAGAATGCTAGTACGTTAAGCCATTGCTTGAAAATGGTAACGAGAAAAGTAGCATAAAAGAGACTTACGAGAGCTGTCAAAAAACAAAAGTAAAATTTTAAAAAATTGCGATGAAAATGAAGAAACACATTTTATTTTCATCATCAACTACTGGGCCATTGAAAGTACTTTTTAGTCTCATATGTACATAGTGTCATGTCATTTACTGTCTTGTTTGCAATTTGTCACAACCTCTATTTTAACAGAAAAGGAATCGTAGTGAACACACGAAGCTTACAACTATTTCTTTCAGATTGAAGTCTACTTTTTTTATTTTCTTATTTTATTTTTTAATAATGTTTTGGGCGTTTCATTCTCTCTGTGATCTCAAAAAATTAATCAGCAAAGGGTTTGGGCAGGGCTCACATCAATAATCGTTCAAACTCGATACCAAGACGGGCATTAATCAAGTTTCTACTTTTATATTTTAAATGTCTTAATGACGTACGCGTTAAACAATTGACATAACCTATTGAATCCGCTAAGAGATTTTTTCTTTCCTCAAGTAGTTCCTTTCTTTTTTTAAATGATATTCGTAACGCTTTGCAGATCATTCACTTCATCATGTAGCCGGAACTAATATTATTATTTCCTCATTCAATATCCAATTTAATCCTTTCGATTCTAAATGAGAGTTTTCACTCTTTAAAGATGGGAGCTCCCAACTAAATGACATCAAGTGGTATCCTTCAATTACCTCCTACAATCGAGTATTATCTTCTGGTTTCTGATAACGAAAGATTTAGAAAAAAATTTCATACTAAATAGTGGCGAGATTAAAACATGACGTTTCGGTGACGACATGTCACCATTATCAAATGTGAAATTATTTTAAGTTCAGTGACGCTATCTAAAGAAAGGAAAATGTGAAACCAAATTAGAATAAAACGAGATGGAGTAAAACAAAAGAATATACATAATTAAATGAACAGTTTCGCTAGAATGGAGTCTTTCTGAGTGTTCAGGGTCGGTTTCTTTTTCCTTATTAAAAGCATCTCATAAATAAGGCACTCAAACTTTCCGCGGCATTTCTCTAGGATAGAAATTAACTTGTGAAGATTGTTCAGTCTTTGATCATGTTCGTCCTAGAGATGTTTACCAATGACAGAACATATGCTTTTGATAAGGAAGAGACCGGCTCCAAACACTCAAAAAGACTCCATTCCAGCTAAACTGTTCATTTAATTATGTGTATTCTTTCGTTTTCTTTCCATTTCATTTTAATCTATCTGGTTTCACACTTTCCTTTATTTGGATGACATCATTGAACTTATAATAAATCTACGTGGTTATAAATTCGCAGTTCAAACTGGTTTTTAAGAGCTAAGGCATTTAGTTGAAATCGTACATGCAAATATGATAATAATTAGGGTCCTAATGCGATTTAGCTAAGGCCCGCTTCCTTTAGGATTATCGATAGTACTTTGAGAGCCATTGTAGCCTCCCAAAATAACTATTGATTCCATTAAAAAAAAAACATCTAGGTGATGTGGAAACTTGAAAGAAACACATAAAACACTCGTACAACAACAGATATAAGCTTTGAACGATGAACACTACTGAACTAGTAGTTAAAATAAGACCTGAAAAAAATTCAGGCCCGTACGGTGCAGCGCAGCTTCCAAATGAGCTAACAAGCCAACTGGGAGCTTGTTATTATATTGGATCCAGATAAACCTTCCAAGTGGTGAATAATGATTGGAAATATATGAAAATCATATATGTGCACTGCGGTAAAGAAACAGATACAAGCGATCCTCGCAGCTATAAACACTACTGTACTAGTAGTTGAAATAAGACCTGAAAAAATTCAGGCCCGCACGGGATTTGAACCCATGACCTCTGCGGTACAACAAAATGATCAATTTGCATCCCATAGAGGCCCCTATAATATTTTCTTTCTTGGTACATGCTTTGTCTTCTATAGTTCATTCTACAGAAGCGTGTAATATTCTCCTTGAAGGGCCACTTGCCTTGCAGCTGCATCCATTTGAATGTTTCTCATGGATAAATTTTCATAAAAGGATTTTTCCCATCTCCAGCACCAGCTGTCACTTATTTTTTGACTTGTGACTAGAAACTAGTGTGTTATAAGAAGATTTTTAATTATGCTGTTTGAGTTTGGATCACTAAGGGTCTAACAAGCGAAGGTTTCAAATATCAACAGCATTGCTCGAAAAGGTGAGTTGAACATTGAGAATTGAAACAGTCTAAAAGGTAACTTTTAAAATAGCCTTTTATGGCTCAGATATAAGTCAACTTTCATACGGGAATCTTAGCAATCATTCCCCTTTGCTGAAGTAGCTCAGACTAAGGAATAGCCAATAAATTATTTTAATTTTAAAATAAATTAGTAAAAATGGTTTAGTTAACAGGTTACGTAAATATGTTTCGAATACTGCCTCTCTTGTGTTTATGAGTTTTGAATTCGATAAAGCCGTATTTGAGTCGACCTTCATACAGAAACCTTAGCTGTCATTCTCTTTTGCTGGAGTTGCTCAGACTAAGGAATAACTAGCAAATGATTACGAAAAAAAAATGAAGAATTTGAATCAGCCATAACAGCTCTCTTGTGTCTATGAGTTTCGAATTCAATAAAGCTGTATTTCAGTCAACTTTCAGACGTAAATCTTAGCAAACGCTTCCTTTGCTTCAGTAGCTTAGACAAAGGAAACACTAAGAAGTTATTATGGCAAAAAATAAATTTAAAAAATAAATTAGTGATAATGGCTCTCTTGTGTTAATATGTTCTGAATTCAATAAAGCCTTATATAAACCGACCTTCAAACGAAAATCTTAGCAAGCATCCCATTCGCTGCAATAGCTTCATGATTACAGTTTCAGTTGACGTAGAGCCAGTGAAATTTGAAAAAGGTCTCAACCAGGTTTTTCTCTTAGGTTCAAAGATATTTTGACATTCCTGCCTCACTGAACTATAAGAAAGCGTGAGTATTCTTTGAGATAAGAACTAATTTTAAAAAATTTACCTTAAGAATTTGTTGACAACGAGGGTACAAAACCCATCAACACCATCAACCCTGAGATTTTGCGGGACTCCATTTAGAGAAGTCTCCTTTCAAAAAAAGGGGAGAAAACAACAACAGAAACAAGAATATATTCTTCACTGTTTTTTTTCCACTGTCACGAAGACTGTACTTTGTTAGCTATGGGTCTCAACTACTCGGCGCTCAGATCAAGAACATTTAGAAAGTAAGAAAAAATGATCAAACATTTCTAGGAGAGGTATCAGATGTTTTTTTTCTCTCGTCAGGAGAAAGACGTTTCGTGGGGTACATGGATTTTTAATTCAGCCTATTATCCTCTAATCAGTACATATTACAGCTTGAGTCACAGACGAGGATGTCTCAAACAATTTCCCAAGATTGTTTAACTCGCTCGAGAGCAGAAATTTCGTTGGAGGTAACCTTCGCTATTCTGGTGTGTCTCGCTTCCATACTTGGTAATGTGCTGGTTATTTATGTTATAAAAAGATACTCCGAGCTTCAAACTACTACCAACATTTTTATACACAATCTTGCACTGACTGATGTGTTCATGGCGACCCTTAACATGCCTTTCTGGATAACGAGTTTGTACACGAGAAAGTGGAATTTGAGCCAGGAATGGTGTGAAGTTTCTGCATCATTACAACACACAATGGGTTCGTCCTCCTTGTTCATTATGGGCTTAATTGCCATGAATAGATACATGAAAGTCGTCAAGGGAACTTTGTACATCAAGTTCTTTCCCAGTAAAAAAGTTGCTTGGGTGTACTGCGGTGTCGTCTGGCTGACTTCTATGTTATTTGCCACACCTCCGTTGTACGGATGGGGAAAAATGAACTTCAACTCAGATTTTTTGTTTTGCTCATTCGACTTGAAGGACGGACACTTTTCTTTTTTCATTCTGCATGTAGGAATCTTCAACGTTACAGCGTTAACAATATTTTACTCCTATTGGAAAATTTACCAGAAGGTGAAAGAAAGCACAGATAATGTCAACGCCCATGTCGTACAAAATAGCATCGGCGCACCAAGGCTCCATCGTACTGACATCGATATTTTGAAGAGTTGTTTCATAGTGGTTTGTTTCTATTTAATTACATGGTTTCCTTTCGCCTTATGCGCTAGTACAATTGCTGTTGGAGGCTACATTCCCCACGAAGTGACTGAGGTATCTGTGTATTTGTTGTTCTCCAGTAGTCTTGTAAATCCAATCATCTATGGGATAATTAATCCGCAGTTTAAAAAGGCCTTCAAAAAGGCATTCAGTCGTGGTCGTTATGACAACGATAATGAAGATCAGAGTCATGAAAGAGTTGCAGCTGTTATGATACATCCTAATAGCAACGAAATTCGATGACTTATGGCGTGAAGATCTATCATTTAAAGCCTTAGTACAATACTTTTTCCCAGAGAGATCGGTTGATACCGGCTTCGTTCTGTTTTTGAAATTTTTCACAACCTTCTCTTATTCAACAGAGATGGAATCGTAGTGAACACATCAGGCTTACAACTTTTTCTTTCAGATTGAAGTCTGTTTTTTTTCATTTTCCTATTTTATTTTGTAAATGCCAGTTTCTGACATTGGTTATCCTGTGTAATCGGACCAGTCCGTCCGAGCATTTAGGTCACGTGATTTTACCGAGGTTCATTCCGGCTCGGTTAAACCTCGGCGCTGAGCGTTTTCTTTCGTCTCGTTCATATTTCGCTTGTATACGGATGAGGAACCAGTTACTGGACTGTCATTTGTCAAGGAAATTACGGAGAAACTAAAGGATTAAACATTGTGTACACTCGTGAATTAACGGTTACGGTAACACGATTTTTGCATTGTAAACCACCGGACATTGTCGAGCATTTCGCTGATCTAGAGGAATAAAGAATGAATTTTACGGCTGATACATATCTCTTTAATCTTGCTTTGGGCGTTTCATTCTCTCCGTGATCTCAAGAAATTAATCAGCAACGGGTTTGGGCAGGGCTCAGATCAATAATCGTTCAAATCCAATACCTAGGCGGGCATTAATGAAGTTTCTACTTTTATATTCCAAATGTCTTTATGACATACGCGTTAAACATGTACACTTGACATAAGCTACTAAATTCGTAACGCTTTGCGGATCATTCACTTCATCTTGTAGCCGGAACTAACATTATTTCCTCATTCAATATCTAATTTAATCCCTTTGATTCCAAATGAGAGTTTTCACTCTTTAGAGATGTGAGCTCCAAATCAAATGACATCCAGTGGTATCCTTAAATTACTTCCCACAATCGAGTGCTATGTTCTGGTTTGCCACTATTATGTTGAATTAACATTCGTAACGCTCTACAGACCATTAACTCCATTCTGTAGCCAAGACCTTACACATAATTAAATCCTTTTAATCCTTAATGAGACTTTTCACTCTTCAGAGATGGGAGCTCCCAACCAAATGAAATTAAGTGGTATTCTTAAATTCCTTCTCACAATTGAGTAACTCGACACCATTTCTTGGAGATTTTTTTCTTTTGAATTTTCTTTAGATTTAAAAGTCTGTGGCAAGATTTCCAACACTTGTTATATTTTTGACAAAGTGTCTCTTTAGCAATTAAATTTTGAGAAAAGTATCAAAACAATCGGATGCTCTTAACATCACAAAGGAACACTTGAACTTCCTCACTTGACGCCGCTATATCAATGTAAGTGATCTGAATGAAAAAAGACGCTTTTGAACTTTGAAAGAAAATAAATCTTTTTAAATTTTCTGCTACTAGTTTCTTCTTTCTCCACATCAGAAGTTCACGGTTTGTGTCAATCACCTTCCCAAGATCCCCTCGATCGTTCACCCGCAGCAATTGGTATCGAAGTGACCATAGCCACTCTCGTATATTTCGCCGCCGTGTTTGGTAATCCGCTGGTCATTTATGTCATCAATAAAGATTTTAGACTCCACACCGTTACCAGTACTTTCATCTACAATCTGGCATTTACTGACATCACCACGGCAACCACATACATGCCTTTCTGGATGGTGACCCTATACACGGGAACTTGGAATGTCAGCCAATTGTGATGTCAATTATCCAAGTCGATTTTGACTACTACGTGTTATACCTCACTTAATTATGGGGTTAATGGCCCTAAATCGATACACTACCGTTGTAAAACGTGTACTGTGCAGAAAAGTTTTCTTCAGCAAAAGAGCAGCTAAGTTGCATCTTGTTCTTGTTTGGCTGTTTACTATGCTGTTTGCCACGCCTCCAATGTACGTTTGGGGAAAATACCAGCATCGCTATAAATTTTCCCTCTGTTCCTTCAGCTGGCAACTAAACCATTAATACAGTTACAATATTATATTCCTACCTTTAAGTATTTCAAAAGGTGATGGAAATGAATGCCCTAGGTGAACGAAACGGAGTTAAAGGAGTCGGCGCTGTGCATCAGAATCGTACTGACATAACAATGTTGAAGACATGTACTGTTTCACTGCGGTTTTCTTTCTTTTTAATTGCATGGTCCCCATTGTCCGTCGTATTATTGTTGGAAACTTTTGAGTTTAATTTCAAGAGAGATTTTTGCTAAATCCACTCATCTATTAAATTTATATCCTCGAAAATTAACGGGTTATGAATTCGCAGTTCAAACTGGCTTTTAAGAAGGCATACGGTTTTGGCCGTACATGCGATTTAGCTAGGGCACATTTCCTTTAAGATTATTGACAGTACCTTGAGAGCCACCGTAGCCCCTCAAAATAACTATTGATTCCATAAAAAAAGCAATCGTTGTAGGTGATGTGGAAACTTGAAAGAAACTCTTAAAACACTGCATACAATAGTATGATCAATTTGCATCTTATAGAGGCCCCTATAATATTTTCTTTTCTCGTGCATGCTTTGTTTTCAATGGTTTGTTCTACAAAGGCGTGTAATATTCTCCTTGGAGGGCTACTTGCCTTGCAGCTGTATCCATTTGAATGTTTCCCATGCATAAATTGTCATAAAAAGATTTTCTCATCTTGAACGTCAGCTGTCACTTAGTTGTTGACTTGTGACAAGAAACTAGTGTGTTATAAGAAGATTTTTAATTACACTGTTTCAGTTTGGATAACTAAGGGTCTAACAAGCGAAGGTTTCAAATATCAACAGCATTGCAGGAAAAGGTGAGTTGGACATTAGAATTGAAACAGTCTCAAAGGTAACTTTAAAAATAGTTTTTGGCTCAAACCGCTTTTTCTTCATAAATAGAGGACCTACAGGGTGTTTCTGAGAAGTTCGTGTCCTTTTTCTAAGCCTATATTATAATTATTTTCGAATTCTGAAAGCTATGTTTTTATGAAAAATTGCCTGATTTTATTAACTTCAAATTTCAAAGTTATTCAAAAGTGAAACATTGAAAAAAAATAGAGAAAAACTATAAAAACATTATTTCCCCGCCAAAGTGCGCAAACTGTGAATGCCAACGTTTCTCTGTTTCTCGCTGTCTTTTCCCTGTTTAGTCATTGTCCTGTTTTCGTAAATTATCCTAATTTACAAAGACGAAACACGCCAAAAAACTAATGCACTGGCACAAGCCTCAATTGTAATGTACTCTGGGATATCGATTCGAGAAACATCTAAAATATTACGGTCAAGCGAGCTCCAGGTGATAGGATGGTCACCTCGCAAAGATTTTGAGGACAAACCGAGAACGAGGTAGAGTGACTGGCCACGGTTTAATAAACCTTAATTTTGTTCCGTAAATGAAACGTTAACATTTAATCATTACATTAGGTATGAACTTAGACATGAAGTCAAGCCTTTACTTAGCCGCAGATGTACGTCAGACAAACCCGTGAAATTAAAGTTGTTTAGCTCCAATAGGAGAATATTTTTTTTACAAGATGGAGCATCGGCTCGCAAAGCCAAGGCTACGCCAACATGGTGCCCAAGAAGTTTTCCCAATTTTATTGTAAGAACATGAAACAAAACTTTAAAAAAAAAAGCCTGCTAATTCGCTAGGTTGTAACCAAGAAGAAAATCCCCGAAACACTATTGACGAAGTAATGTACCGCGATCTGATTCCGTAACTGTGAGGGCTAAAAACGTGGGTACGCCATGCATGGAGGAAAGCTTCCCCGCTTTTTAAATCAGTTGGCTTATTCTACGCCACTACGCACGGAAATTGTTACAAAAAGAAAGTGGGGAAATGCAGTATATAGTTGTATATAGTTTATAAACAATATAAATGATATTGGAATTGTAAGATAGCATATTTTTATTTTATTTTAGCTTATTTTCTCGAAGATATTAGCTCTACAGCTATACTGAATTTCGGGCATAAATAAAGTATATGTATGTATGTATGTATGTATGTATGTATGCAGGCGACTGAAATTGTTCCTGGAAGGCTCTATGGACCGGAATTTTGGCCACAAACTTTTGAGACACCAAAATCAGATATGATGAGCATAAACGATTTTCTTTTGATTTTACATTAAGAAGTGCCAAAGCGAGTAGCTTATATTGTATAGATACACTCTAGTTCACTGCTACATCTTTTCTGTGCAAAGGCTAAGTAATCCTTCGAGAGCCGAGTCAACTAAAAGCAATGTTTTGTATCACATATTTTCTTGAAACACGATACAATATCATTTTATAAAATCTTCGTTCCCCAGGCTGGCGTTGGAAGTGATTTTATTTTTATTTTTATTTTCACTGGGTATGGAAGCAGTGTTTCGTGTTTAATATTATTCTAGCTAGAAGATCGTTCTTCTAGGCGATTGTAAGTTATGCTGTCCGATTAAAGTAATTCAAAGGACCTTGATAACTAAGTCCATTCATGTCTCTTTTAAGCACTTCCTAAGTATTTCGTTTATTCGTAAGTACTTTGTGTTTCCGAATTGGCATAATGCTCGCAAAAGATTAAACAAGTAAGCTTGATTCTCTTGATACAGCGAAAAGATATTTAAAACCACCAAGGAGCTCCATATGTTCTCGCTGATTTAAGAACTGACGTCTGGTAGGAAAGAAATAATATTGAATAACTTTGGATAATCCCCATTTTCAGGACTGTTTATACTATATTACATGTCGACTGATGTTCATCTGTTGATGTTTAGGAACTTTTACCTTCCAACCTGCTTCACCACAAAATGGTGAACAATTCTGGCTCAATTGCTACAGATCCTCTTGGTCGTTCGCGCGCTGAAATTGGTTTTGAGGTGAGCCTGGCCATTCTCTTTTGCCTTGCCTGTCTACCTGGAAATCTGCTGGTTATTTATGTGATTAATAAAGACTCCAGGCTCAAGAGTATCACCACCATTTTCATCCACAATCTGGCACTAACTGACATATCCATGGCAACGCTTCACATGCCATTTTGGATCGTGAGCCTCTATACTGGTTCCTGGAATTTCAGCCAACAGTGGTGCGAGATATCTGCATTAACACAATTTACAATGGGTATCGCATCTATTCTGAATATGGGCGTAATTGCACTGAATCGTTATATAAGAGTTTTAAAACCAGCCCTTTATAGGAGACTATTTCCCAGCAAGAGAAATGCTTGGTTTTTTTGCGCTCTCGTTTGGTTGGTTGCTTTTTTTTTTAGCACAGCTCCTTTGTACGGATGGGGAAAGTTTGACTATCACAAGAAATTCTCTATACGCTCTTTAATTTGGAAAGAACATATTTCGTATGTTATAGTGGTCGTCGGGGGGGTTATAAACGGTTGTACAATCGCAATATTTTATTGTTATTATAAAATCTACCAAACAGTGAAACAAAGCTCGCTAAATATAAACGCCCACAGTGAAGGAAATCAGGGTGTTAATGCGTCAAATGCTGGCCGTACTGACATAAAATTGTGGAAGACCAGTTTCACTGTGGTTTGTTTTTTTCTGATGACTTGGGGTCCAGTTTGTATTGTGGTTCTTTTTGAGACAGCTGGGTTTGATATCCCGAGGGAAATCTCCGCCACAGTAATTTTCTTGATGTTCTCGAGTAGTTATGTAAATCCAATTATCTATGGGATAATGAATCCACAGTTCCAACTGGCCTTCAAAAGAGCACTGAGTTGTGGTCGCTATGGCAATAATAATGTAAGCCAGAACTGTAAAGGTACTGAACCAGACAAACGTTGAAGGCTGACGGTGTCCGCGGAACATTCTATGCGAAGTATAACATTGACGACCGAGCGAAGCGTTTCAGAGCTACTTATGTTATAATGTTTGGCAGTATCTTGAGTAGTAGGTATCTGATTCTGGTGTTGTGGTAGCGTTCTACACACTCAATTTGAAGAGACGACGGGAAAAGCAGAGCGCCCGTTTTCTATTGTGTGATTCTGCCCCATCCATT